ATTACATTTTGTATCCTTTGTAGTTGATATTATTAATTTTTAATAATTTTATTTTTGAAAAAAAAAATTAATTATAAAAAATAAATTATTCTAAAAAATAACAATAATAATAATGTAATAATTTTAAGAAGAAGTAGAAAAATAAAATGATGAACTCTAATAAGAAATTTAAGGATTATCCATGAAGAAATATAAATTATTAAAATTAGAATTTCAAGCACTTGAGAAGTTAAGCTAATATACTGATTAAAATATAGAGCTTACATAATAAAAAATTAAAAGTTTAAATTTTGACTAAATTTTAATAAACTTAATTAATAGAGAAGACACATAGTCTTAAATTATGTAAAAAGCACTTAATTTAAGGGATTAATTAAAATACTCAAAAAGAGATATTTCACTAACTTAAGTCTGGTATCAGAATTTTAGCGTTAAATTAAATATAAAAAAAGCATATAAATGAAAAAAAAAAAATATACCTTATTAAATTTTTTGTACATTTTTTTTGTTAAAAATAAATATTTAAATTTATGTATTTATTTTTATTTGTAAAAATAAAAAAATAATAATAATAATTAATAAAGCGATACAATATTTTTTATCTATATCTCTAAAATATAAAAATATTATAAAAGTTAAAAAAAAGTCATAAAATAAAAATAAAAGAAAATAATAGAAAAATAACATTATTATAATTTAATTAATTTAATATTTAAAAAATAAAAAAATACTCAAAAAAAATTAAAAAAAATATATTATATACTCAAAAAAAAAAACTCGAAAAAAAAAAAAAAAATGGACTTTGAAAAACTAAAAGAATTTTTACCAAAAGATCCAATAAAATGGAGCATAGAAGATATAAAAATATGGTTAGATTTTATTGGATTATCTTAATATTATTAATATTTTTGTAATAAATTATTTATTTTGTAAAAAAAAAAAAAATTATATAAAAAACTTTTTTTCTCAAAAAAAGAATAACATTCAGTAGATGGTTCCTGCTTAACTTCTCTTACCGAATCTGATTTGAGGGATGATTTATAAGTATAAACGGCAATATAAAGAAAAAAGATAAAAAATTGTAAATTAATTTTTTTTTTTTTTTTTTTAAAAAAAAAAAAAATATAATATACTATAATAAAAAGTAAAATATAAAAATTTACATAAAAAGGGTTAAATGTAGGTTTAAAAGAATATTCAAGCTATTTAAAAAAAAACAAAATAATATAAGAAGATTAAATTATAATGAGTGAATATACAAAACTATAAAAATTCGAAGAAAAAGATGACAAAAAGTTCTTCGATAATTTCAATATTTCATATACTAATAACGAACTAGAATTCCAGAAATAACAAAAAATGATTAGAGTACCGAATTGTGATATAAATGCGCTAGAATCATCTGAAGAAGAGGAAAATAATTAATAAGAACAATAAAATCCAGTTATTTAAAGCAATAATGATATAAATAATAATATAAATAATATTATAAATAATTTACAAGAACATAACTATGAATTAATAATAGAGCCAGTAGAAGGTGTTTAAGCAAATTATTTTTGCATTAAAGAACAAGGAGGGAAAATAGGAAGGCATTCATCTAATTAAATTTTGATTTTGGAAGAATCCATTTCCCGTTTTCATGCAGAAATAGAATTTAAAAATAACCAATTTTACCTTAAAGATATAGGTTCTACTACCGGTACATTTATCAAAATTAAAGATAAAATTTAACTGACATTAGATACTGTTATCGAAATGGGCTCAAATTAATATGAAGTAACGAAAATTAAATAAGATCCACCCTATGTTTAATTAACTGTTTTAGAAGGAGTTAATTAATCAAATCCACCTTATGATGTATTTTTATAATTATTTATTATATATTTTTTTAATATAAAGCTTATATTTACGTAAGAAATGATAGATAAAAATGAATATTTTTCTATTGGAAGAAAAAACTCAAATAAGATAATACTCCCTGATGATTAACATTTATCAAATTTACATGCAAAAATATATTTTATTGATATGAAAATTATTCTTGAAGATCATGGATCAACAAATGGGTATTATTATATATTATTATTATTTATTATTATTATTATTATTATTATTATTATTATTATTATTATTATTATTGTTATTATTTTTATATTTTTATTAAAAAAAAAATATAATAGTTCATGGTTAAGACTTTCTAAAGAAGGAATTTAAAGTGAAAGTTATTCTTTAGATAATAATACAACTTTTAAGATAGGAACTACATCTACATATAATTGCAAAATAAAATGCTTAGAAAAAGAAAATTTTTAATAGCAAAATAATGGAATCCCTAATATGGTTTAATGGTGTGTTATTTGTTGTGAAAATGAAAGAAATGTTGTTTTTATTCCTTGTAGACATAATTGTACATGTATTTAGTGTTCTAAAAATATATAAGAATGTCCTATCTGTAGAACTTAAATTAGGGATACAGTATAAATATACAAAGCATGAAATTTTTTAAAAATAAATAAATATAAATAAAATTTATAAATAAATAATAAAATTATTTAATTTATTAAATTAATTATCCATTTTAATATATTTAATATAATTATAAATTATATTTAATAATTCATTACTAAAAATTTTACTTTATTTTATACAATATTCTTTCTAATTTTTTTAGTTTTCTCTTTTAATATAGTTAATTTTGCAATATATAAATATTATATTTAATTATATATATTCATATTTAAATAAAATAAAATTAAGAATTATATATTTAAAAATTATTTTATTATTAATACAATAATAACTAAAAATTATAATAAATATGTTATTGATTTAAAAATCATATTTTTATAAAATTTTCAAATTTAAAGGGGCATCATTATATGCTTATTAAGGAGGTAAATAATAATTAAAAATAATAATAGTTTAAGTTTTATTTTTAAAGCTATTAAAAATTAATTTATTAAATAATATAAAAAGTATATTATTTAAATTTAATCGTGTTTAAGTATAGTTATATTAAATAAGAGATATCATCTTAAAAAATTTTAAAGAAATAAATACAAAACAATTAAAATCAATTTAATTTTACATAAACAAAGAAATAATAAAATTAATTTAATAAAGGAAATTTAGTTTTATTATATATTATATTTTATTAGATATGCTTTAAATTTTTTAATAAATTAAAAAATGAAGTTTTATAGTATACTTATTTATTTATTTATTTATTTATTTATTTATTTATTTATTTATTTATTTATTTATTTATCGTCTTTTTGATTTTTTAAAAATATAAAATTTTAGATTTTAAGATTATTACGACTTTATTATAGCCTTATATTAAAAACATATTATTATTAAAATATATTTTATAATTTTTTCTAGTTAATTTATTTTTTAATTATTTTATAAAATATAAATAATTTAATTTTTTTTTTTAGATTTTTAATCTTTTTGTAAAAAACATATAATACTAATAGATATTTATTAATATATTTTTTTGAAAAGAAAGTCTCAATTATTAAAATATCTATTTAGAGAAAAATCAACATTTTTAATATAAGATATATTTTTATTAAACTTAAAAAGTTTAATATATATAAATATTTTTTTGTTAAAAAATAAAAAATTACTTAAATTTCTTTTTTTACACTTAACATTTCTAAATTTTTATAATTATATTAACATTTTTGTTTTATTTCATTTTTAATTTTCTATTAATTATATAAAAATGTTATATTTTAATTTTTTAAAATAAATACATTTTCAAGCTTTATTTATTTCTTTATTTCATCTATAAGTACTTTATATGTATATATAAATTCTTTTTCTTAATTAATTTAATTTTAAATGATTTTTAATTTATTAATATAAGTATCTTTCTCTTATTAAAATTCTTTCAATTCTTATTTTAAATCTAATATTACTTTTTTTATAAACACCATCCATATATAAAAGCTATATAATTTATATAAAAAATTGAAATAAAAAAATTACATTATTATTTTTATTTATTGACATTAATTAATTTTATAAAATAGAACAAGTCGTTTTAGAATCTTATTTCCATTTTTTTTCCAAAACAATATTAAACTTTAATTAGATAATATTTTCTTGCGATACTCTTTTATCTTCTTATGTTTGTTTTAAATCCTTTTATTTTGAAAATATAATAATAGTAGAGTTATATTTTTTTACATTTTATATATTTATAATTTTCCTAAAGCTCCATTAGTAAAATTTTAATAATTAAAAATTTTAAATTTTTTAACCTATTATTATTTTTCTTTAAATCGTATTTAAGAAAATAAAATATTAAATTTATATTTTATTATATAAAATATTACTTTTACAATTTATAAAACTTAATGTTTTATTTAAAGAAGTAGACTAATTAATAACTTTTTACCTATTAGTTTACTTAATTCCATTATTATAATGAAAAATCCTTTTTTAAGGCGTTAGCACATCAGTTTAGGTATTTTTTTTAGTTTATATATTAATAATATGTCAAATTTTAATTTAATTAAATATTTTCAGAATCATAAATAAATGCATTATCATTTAATTAATGAAGTGATTTGCTTTGAATTTATTTTTTAGAGATTTTTCTTCATTAATATTATTTAAAATAAGATTATTTTTTGATTTTAAAATATTAAAATTATTATTAAAAATCGTTTTAGTTTGATTCATATTAATAAAAAATATTTTATTATTTTTATTATTGAAACTAATGTTATTAAAACTTATTTTAAATAATTATAAAATATATATATATATATATATATATATATATATATTATT